GCCTCCCCTTCCCTCATCCACCTGCTGGCCTCTGTGGAAGCCCCACCATAGCCACCACCAAACAACTGAGTTATTTTTACACATCGACCTGCATCTGGCCAATCCACCACCTCTCATTGTTCATGCCGTTACAAAAAAAAATAAAAAATAAGTCACCGGGCATATCCCCGGTATGCCCGATGGCCAGTCCAGCTATGTTAACCTGCAACCAAATCTGCAGCTCCATACAGCAATGTTACGACTTGGATTATATATTATAACTCATAACTCTTATGTTAGCTGCCCTCAGTAGCATACTGTCTGAAATATTCGACGGCTGCAATAATTCTTCAAGTGTTATTTTTTCCTTGGTATTCTAATTTCACCGAAGTTTACTAAACTCAACAAACTTAATATTACTTACCGGGACATTTATTCTGGCCTCATTTTCTTTCACCGAAAAATTGTTTCCTGCGGTGCCATCTTTCGTGCTTGGCTCTCCTACCTTTGCTAACGTGATGCACATAGCGCAGAAGCCGATGCTGCATTCACTTACACTCGGATATCTGAGCTTCACCGTGAAAACATAATCGTACATTTGATATTTGATTGAATTTTATTGTTTTGCCTTTGGGGTGGCACCTGGGGTGGCCAGTCTGGTTGGGGGGGTGGCCTGTGCCCCCCCAGGCCACCCTGCTGGACACGCCACTGAGGGCAGGATGGCTGCTGTGTTTGCTTTGGATTACTCCTCACCCCCTACCCAACCCTGTTGCTTGTCACGTGCTCCATAATGTTGTGCTGTGGACATTTATGTGCTTCTGTGCAGAGGAGTTTTTTGGTTTCCTGTTCTCATGCTGTCCTTTCATAGGAGCCCAGCATGAGTAGAGGTCTCTTTTTTTTAGTGATGGGTCGTTCGCGAACGAAATGGCTCTTATAGCCGGCTCTTTGACGTGAACGACGCGAGCCGTCACGTGGGTTTTTTTTTTTCTCTCACCCTCTCTCTCTCTCGCACTTTTTTTCCGCTTCACTCTGCACACGAGCCTTGTGCTTTACGCTGGGCAGAGGGGGGAGTTATACTCAGTAGCACAGTAACAGAGTCAGAGGGAGAGAGAGAGAACGGGAGCCAGGGACAACAACATCACATTAGAAAGGTATAGTAATCATCCACAACTATTTTCGGTTGCAGATGATAAAGGATTCAGAAAGTTTATTCATGCGGGCCCATATGACAGAGAATATGCATCTTCTTTATGTTTTCATATTTTCATAATTAAGCATTATTGGGGGGGGGGGGGGGGGGGGTGTCTCTATTTATTTTTTTTTCTTTTGCTGGGAGTTGGCAACCCTATTAGTTAGGTTGTTTAATATTTCCACTAAGTACTCTTTAAAATACCAGAATAGTGAGGATGGTGTAGGTTTAAGTTTATTAGATTGATCAGTTTTGCTGAACTATGAAATATTTTGGGTGCAGTGTATTTTTTGCATACAGGTTTAACAGAATAGCTTTAGTGGTTTTCTTTTTTAAACTTGAGTATGAACTTATACAAAATGCAGCAAGATATTTAAAAAAAACATTTTATTGATTATGAAATACCCTATAGAGATTGAAAATGTGACGTCATTCAGGGGTAAAACCGCAAAGGATTCTGGGAACTCATGGCAAGAGGTACTAGTGCACGCAGGCTTTCAATTGAAATCAGTTACACAGCGATAAAAATAAACAAAAGATGTCAAGAAGCTGTTGTATTGTTAACTGCAATAGCCAGTCGCATGACAGCCACGGGAAGCCGATGGGTAAAGAGATCGGTTGTTATCGGATTACGTCGTTGAAGAGAAATTGTTCGAGCCATGTTTCCGAAGTAACAAACAGGCGACGGATGGCCTGGATTGCAGCCATTCAAAGACCAAATATAACGTCCCAGAACACTCCAGCTCACATGTTAGTCTGCTCCAAGCATTCCCACAAAGGTCAGTGTTTTGTAGTAATTAATACGTCATTTTTCTTAACATAATTGGTGATATAGGTTACAAGCAAGTCTGGTGCTGAACAGAAATTGTCGCGCTATGCTCCTTTGTTTATTGTGCATAAATACTGAATTGTCCTGACACAATATTGTGTTTCGCTTCTGTTATTACCATGGTACATTGACAAAAACATATACTTTTATTCACAGGGTAAAACAGGTTTTTTTGTATCACCAATTGCCCAGTGCGATTACAGCATACAATATTGTTGTCACTGCTACATTTCTGTAATGCGTACCAGAAATTATTTCCACTACTAATTAATTACCGTTGAGCTTAAAGGTCCTATTAATAAACTGTTAACGAATGTGTATTTATGAAGACGATTTGTGAGACTGGTAAACTTATGATAGGTACGATGGTCTTTCGTTCTACACGGTGCATTTCAAGGTCCTGTACCCATCCGTCTGTACACTGTACCTGGGCTTGTTGCAGTGACCTGAAGTTACTAAACTTCATGAGAGTATGCACTCACTCCAAGAACCGTATAATTATAAATATGAGCGTGGTGAAAGTTGGGCAGCACGCTAACGTCTTTTGTCCACTCTGTGTGCTCGTAAGGGTCTAACCCTTTCACTCCTTTGATTTTTTCCTCGTATCTTTTCTTTGACTTTTCATCAAGTCTGTCTTTGTACGGACTGGCATTGTTCTCCTTCGTTGTGTACATTACTTTTTCGGGGGACAAAGAACAAGCAAGAAGGTATTGGAACCGGAGAATGAACGTTTTCAGGTGCTGAAAATGCTTGCATTTGATGCGGTACTTGGATTGTTTTGCCACGAGTTCCCGGCACGCAATGCGCGAAAGTCACGTGGTCTGTCAATCTCTATATCGGATTTATATCGGTATCGGCAGATATCCAAATTTATGATATCGGTATCGGACATAAAAAAGTGGTATCGTGCCATCTCTACATCATAATATCATTGGTAACTTTAAGCACTGCTGTTTCTAGATTCTTGCTTAGAGCTAAAGTTGAGATAAAAAAAAAAAGACACAACTATGGTCACATGGACACATTGCTATTGTTGTTTTATTACTTACTTAATCAATATATAATATTTAACCTTTTTGTGTGGCATCTAAAACCCATAGACTTTTCACTGTGAAGAGATGACGTGACATTTTATAACATATTTTTAAAATTAACAGCACAGTATGTTGAAATGAAAAGACCCAGAAACAGGCAAAAAAAAGAAAATCATTTAACCAGGAGGAGTCTGCTGGTCTTTGCTGGATCGTTGTCTACCACGATTGCTGGATCGTGGTAGACAACAATCAGTGAGACTCAAGCTACAGCTCAAGCTAAGTCAAGTGTCTATTGTGAAAGTTGTAACTCATTCTCGTTTCCTTGCCTACAGACCTCCTGGATAACCTTCCCTGTGTGAATCTTTGTGTCAAGTGTGGAGAAAGGAACTGCGGTCGTGAGTGTGGAGAGTTGGAGAACGAGAGATTTCCCCCCTTTGGATTTCCCTGGAGCCCCGTCCCCCACATTGTTGTATATAGCACTGCCCTGCACTTCCTTTATATACACCTGGTGAACTCTGTAAATAAATTCTTGTGTTCAGCTGATTCTGGAGTCCTGCGCTTGAGTCTCCCACGTTGAACTGTAACAGACCTGAAGAAAAATGCTAACTCTGGATATCATTAATATTAGAGGAAAACTGAAAAACTATCAATTAAAAATTGTCCATCCATCCATTCTATTATATCCATGGATAGTACACTGCTGCAGTGTAATTTGACATTGGATCATTGTTAGCAGTAGATAGCTAAAAAATACATTTATTAAGTGATTAAACCTATAACAGAATTAAATTCAGGAAGGATGAATGGGATGGAAGTATCTGCTGAATCAGTAAGCAAATGCTAAGCTGTTAGAGCATTAGATACTGTTAACTAAAACTAATGGATTCAGATAAACTAATTTTACCTTAGGTCCTTAGATTAAGGGTGTATTCTGTGGTGCTTTTACCTCGATATTACATATTATCAGGGTTTTAGTGTAGAAAAAATACATAAACAAAAGCAAAAATATTTTGAGATACCAATATATTTAATAGCTTTCTTATTTATTTATTTATTGTGATTATACAGTTTGTACTATGACATTTTCTTTCAAGTCTTTCAAAATCTTGTCAGGCGTTATCACTCAAAAGTTTAATAGTCATAAAAGTATAGGCATAATATGTTATGTACACTCAAAAAAGTGAAATTGAATGGTTATTGCATTTACAAGTCTCTAACAAAATCCGAGGTTTCCAAGGTGAACTTAATTAAATCATCAGTGTTGGTCAAGTTACTTGAAAAAAGTAATCAGTAACTAATTACTGATTACTTCCCCCAAAAAGTAATCCCGTTACTTTACTGATTACTTATTTTCAAAAGTAATTAATTACTTAGTTACTTAGTTACTTTTTAAAAACACGATTTACAACCTGAAGAGGTGATAAAGCGATAGCTCTTTCAGCCCAATTCTACTTTTTCTACATAATCCATCATACAAAATGTAATCAAATGGAAAAGTCTCTTTATTTTTTACTTGTTTTATCAGTTTTAATCTTTTAACTTTATGCATCAAGCAAAAATTTAATTATATGCAACATTCTCTGACTTGAATAAATTAGTTTAACATTTAAACCTATTTTCTGCACATTCCAGCACATAAAATAAAATATTTTTTGTGTTTACACTCACTCTTTCAAATAGATGCAAGTAAAACACAGCAGAAAATAAATAAAGTCAAAGACTCAGCGGTCCTGTTGCTCTATTTTCACCTGTAAAGCAGGACTGGGGGTAGGCGGACGATCTGATTTCCTCGTGTCAGCATTGTTCCCACATCATAATTAATGTTGTTCCAGGTTCAACATTGCAAGTGACCAATCACCTTCTTGTGACGTCATTCCTTTGCGACTTCGAAATACCCGCCTTCGATTATTTCGAAATACAAGTGAAGAAGCGAAAAACCGCCGCCTGTCCGCCGAATTTGAAGTCAATTCGCCTGTCCGCCGAATTTGAAGTCAATTTAGGATACTTTCCTTTAATAAACGGTAAACATTATACATATGTTCCTCACTTGGCTTGCTGTTTGTTTGCTAGCGATAGGCTACTTGACGACAGCATTAGCTAACCAGTGTTCTCTAGACCAGCGTTCCCCAACTTTTTGGGTGTTTCGTGGCCCGGGGGTTGGGTCAGGCAAAATTGCAGTAGCTTCCCTGATCATTTTACAAACATAAGTGAAGAGAATCTGGACTAAAAGGCCTAGACTTATGGTTGTGTGCTGAATCTATGAATCAAACTATCACCTGGAAACATAATTAACTGGTCCATAGCTGTGAAACTGGACATGAGTTCTTGATTCTATGGAGATTAACAGTAATCCAGAAATTTACAAATTTGTCCTGGTACATCGCGTAAATGTTGTCCCAGGGACATCGCGTAAATGTTGTCCCTGGGACATTGTGTAAATGTTGTCCCTGGGACATCATGTAGAATTTGCCCTGGGACATCGTGTAGATGTTGTCCCTGGGACATCGTGTAAATGTTGTCCCTGGGACATCGTGTAGATGTTGTCCCTGGGACATCGTGTGATAGCTTGTAAATAATGGAATGAAAATTATTGATTGTTATTAACTTGTGAAAAAGAAGTGTAACAAATCCACATGTTATGTTCTTACACCCTTACAGAAACTGTGACTCCTTCACAATGTCAGGTAAATGTCAACTCATGTTGAATAATCAACCAATCAAGCCTTTTATTATCACATGCAATGTTACACGTACAACTGCAATGAAAATTTCACCCCCTTCTGACCATACATATATTGCTTAAACATCACATTGGGAAGACAGGTCGGAAACAGTTAGGAAGGTCAGAAAACAATTTAATTAATAGATGAGGGGAGAGGAGGAGAAAAAAGAACTACAACCAGACAAAGCTCCTAGAAGACTGAAATGGATGATGGTTGCAGCATGCAAAAAGAAAATGATATCTGTTGACTACAGCATATGCTTTCTCACAGATTACCTTGTGGGAGTAGCTGGACCAAACTCTATTGGTATTTCAAGTTTGAAATCCCTGTTTGACCAGACTAACATTTCAGATGAGGTACCTCTTGACATAAAAATCCTTTTATGTTGTCATAAAACTAATGTTAAATTCTGCTTTAAATACACTTTATTGTACAATTTACTTAATGAATCGTATTCCTTAGTTCTGTTTTTATTTATATGTATTTATTTATTTGTTTTATAAGGTAATAGATGGCCTAATCTATTTGCAGTGTGAGGTATGTTGAAAAGCTTGTTTGATCATAATGACATAGCATGTTTACGTTTTTTGTAATGTATTTGAAAACATAGGTGTATTTATGTTATTTTTATAGAATTTCCCTCACATTTATCCAATACCAAGCCAAATCACTGGAAAAATTTTGGATGGGTCCACAAGAGCACAAAGTGCATACTTTTTGAAGGTATGACTTGGACTGTGGTAACTATGTTCTTATCACAAAGGGTTTATAAGTTGCCACTATAAACAAACAGCATTTTCCAAAATTGAAGCCTTGTCAGAAGAATCTGAAAAATACCTTTCTGAAACCTTTTCTGTGTAAAGACTTGTTCAAAAGCAATGCACACAGATTAAAACATTTCTGTCTTGGCCAACTGATAATGTCGTGGTCGCTGTGTGGCAGGCAGGATGAGGACCCAAAATGCAAACTCACGGACTCAGGGGATAAACTCAAAATGCAGCTTTATTGCTGACAGGTGACAAACGAAAGCAGTGATACCAAAGCAATACAAAACTAAACTACACTGGGAAAAGCTAATTGTAACATATACCAGAAGACACGGGGAGAACCACACACAGCATGAGGGAGAACGCGAACGCCGAGCAGAGGGAGACGCAGACAGAAATACACAGAGGGTTAACGAGGAAAGTGGGAACACACGGGGAACACAGCTGACACAGATAACCATAACGAGACAGGGCGGGGTGAACATAACACTGACGGGAGACGGGCAGAGTCAAACAGGAAGTACAGAGGTTCAGACAGGAGGAGAGAGAGCACGGGGAAAACACAGACATAACGGGCTGGGGAAACATGGAATAAAACATAAGGAGAGACGAGGGCTCACAGATACACAGAGGGGCACACAGGGGGTAAAAGCCACGAAGGGAAAACACTTAGGGAACAACACAACAGGGCAACTCAGGAAACATGGCCTAAATAGGGAACAAAATACAAACATACAAGAAAACTAAGAATACTGGGCCAACATGGCCCAGGACCATGACAGATAAAGAACACCAAAAATTGAGTGGTGCGTGTTGAGTCTGTGGTCTTGATTTGTTTTGTACACACTATAGAAATTAATTAATGTAAACCAAAAATGACACTTTCTATATGTTTGTGTATCTGCAGAATTAATTACAAGTCTCACCTGACAAGCTTTTGCAGTTTTGCAGTGTCATTCTTGACAGAAAAACATACTTGTCACATTATTTTTATTTCCAGAAAAACATCTTTCAGATGTATGAGAAATTGATTGGAGCCTGTCTGGAAAACGGCAGCCACTGGACCTTGTTTGTAAGTTGCACAGATTTTGCACTCTCTCTAGTGCATGATACTTTTCAGTGTCCCTCATTAGGAAAGCTCAAGGCCCAAGCCTACCATATCCATCTTTTTACAAAACAGTTTTGTGACATACCCAAGAGGACCATAGTCTATATGAATTCATTTGGCGAGTCGGAGGTCAGAAAAAGTGCGGTGTTGAAAAACTGGAGGTAATTAATTAACATATTTAACATAACATATTTAATTTAATTGAAATCATTACCGAACGTGGTTATTGATTTCTCTATATGCTTTTTATTTGTAATAACTGCGATCTCTCAGCTCATTTGCTTCAGCAAGAGGCTGCGCTGGAGAGTGGACCTTGTAATGTTTGCATGCCTCAAACATTAATGATCACACCCTCGGTAATTCTCAGTTCCATTCTTTTATTCTCAGGCTTGCAGCGATAACACAGTCTGCAGCGCTAACTTGTTCATTTTTTTCGTTTCCTGTTCGACCTTTCAAAATAAAACATCTGTAAACATCACAATCACCTCCTTTTTTTTTTTTTAACCAAACTTATATATTCAGCGAGGTGAATTATTAATCTGAACCTATGACAACGACACCTAATAAAATTACTGAACGTTCTTATTACTTGAGTTTCTCCACACCTAAACATCACTTAAACAGCACTGCGTTTGCACAGATCTGTGACTAAACACTATCAACATTCAACACTATAATACTGGTCACAGTGTTAGATTCAGGAACAACAAACATGTTACACGCAGCGTAACTTTTAGTCTTAGATCTGATGTAATCAGACAGATGCATAGGTGCGCGTCTGTTTGATCTGACTGGGTATCTGGGCTTGTCTGTTAAGGCGGGGTCGACATGCCGTCCAGGTGGGGCATCTTCAAGTCCATGTCTGATTTTCTTGAAGAATGAGGCATTCCTGACAATTGAGTGTCCATCCCGTGTAGCTGTAATTTCAGAACCCTTAACCTTAGTCACTTTGTAGGGTTTTGCATTGTATGGTGTGGATAATTTGTTGTGCTTGGGTTGGCGATGCAGCACTGTGTCACCCGGACTTAGTGAGTGTGGTCTGGCGTGACGAGTTGCATCTGCGATCACCTTCATCTTGATCTTTGCACTATCATCCCTTGCTCTCACTTCAGCATCTGAACACTTCCGTGGAGTGGTGTTAACGAAAGGGAGCTTGGTGTATAGCTGGCGTTGAAACAGTATTTCAGCTGGTGAACTCGCTGTTGTGCTATGAGGTGTAGATCTGTACTCACGAAGAAAGATGTTTAGCTGCTGTTTCCATGGTGTGCCCTGCGTCTCGGCAACTCTCAGTGCTTTACCTAGGGTTCTCATGAATCTCTCAGCAATGGCATTCGCCTGAGGCCAACAAGGTGTGATTTTGCGATGATGGAATCCTAGGTAGTCTGCAAACTGTGAGAAAGCCTCACTGTTAAAAGGAGGACCATTGTCAGTTTTTACTGTCCTTGGGATCCCAAACATGGAGAACACTTTGTCAATTACTGGGATAACAGAAGATGCTGATGTTGAGCGTACACTTTCAACGACTGGATAGCGAGAATACTCGTCTGTGATGACGAGCAGGTATTCCCCCGTAGGGAGTGGTCCATAAAAGTCTGCACTGACACTGTGCCAGGGCGTTTCCGGTAATGGTGACATCTGCAGAGGGTCAGTGTGTGTGACAGGTGTGCTAGCTTGGCATGGCAGACAGTTTTGAACTGCAGATTCTGCTTTCCGATCGATCTCTGGGAACCATACTTTGGTACGTAGCAGCGCTTTGGTCTTGACGATACCCTGGTGCCCTTCGTGTGCCAGCTGTATTGCTCTTTCTTGTAGGATAGTTGGAATGACTATCCTCGTGCCTCTGAGGATGAAGTCAGATGAGTCGGCTACTGTTAGTTCACTTTGAACATGTTTGAATGATTTCAACATGTCAGCATGCTGGGATTTATCTGTTAGATGCCACGTGTTGTTTCTGATGTGACCGATGACTTCCTGCAGAACCTGGTCTTTCAGAGTCTCTGTTTTTATCTCGTGAAGTGTCATGGCTTTTGGGGTGGAGTGATAAGAGAAGAAATTGACATACTCTTCTGCAACCTTACATGCACGAGCACTTTCATTCTCCTGTGTTGGCACTGGGTGACGTGACATAAAGTCAGCTGGATTATCAGCACCTTTTCTGTATTCCACTCTGAAGTTATATGGCTGAAGTCTCAGTCCCCAGCTTTCTATTCTGGCAGGTGGTTTTGATCTTGGGTTATTCCAGATGATTTCGAGTGCCTTGTGATCGGTCACCAGTGTGAATGGATGTCCATAAACATACAAATGGAAATGTTCGCAACTCCACACAATGGCGAGTGCTTCTTTCTCTGTCTGCGAGTATCTCGTTTCCACATCACTCAGTGCTCTGCTTGCGTATGCAATAATGTGTTTCATCCCCTTTTCATCTTTTTGACAGAGAATGGCACCCAGTCCTACTGGACTAGCATCAACTATCAGTTCAGTCTGTCTGCTGGGATAGAAGTAGGACATCGTCGTGTCGCTTGTGAGACTGACCTTGAGTGCCTGCAACGCAGTTTCTTGGTCTTGACCCCATGTCCAAGGGGTGTCCTTGTGCGTGAGCCTGCGCAGTGGCTCAGAGTCCCAGATGAGTAGTGAACGTCGTAATGTAGCGGCTGTCGGGGTGTAATTCAAGTTGGTGGTATCCTGCCCTGAGATCAAGTTTTGAGAACACCATAGATCCATTCAGCTCATGGATTACATCATCAATCGTGGGCGTGACGTGTCGTTCTCGTTCGATTGCAGTGTTTGCTTGTCTCATGTCCACACATATCCGTACGTCATTCGGATTCTTTGGTTTTGGCAGTGTTACAATGGGTGAAACCCACGGTGTTGGTCCTGTAACCTTTTCAATAATGTCATCAGCTTCTAATTTCTGAAGTTCATCCTCCACTTTTTGACGTAAATGAAAAGGAACACGTCTGTGTGGTTGACAGGTTGATTTTACATCTGTGTTTATGTGCAGTTTCACTTGAAAATCTTTGAGTTTTCCAATTCCCTGGAAAAGTTCTGGGTGTTTTTCTACTAGCTTGTCTGCAACAGAACGTTGAGACTGAGAAGAGACCGCAGTCACAATATGGAGGAGTCCCAAGGCTTTTGAGGTTTCAAAACTCAAAAAATTGAAACCTCCTCCTTTAATGACAAAGAAGGAACACCTAACTGTTTTGTCTTGTTTTTCCACACTGCACCTGAATGCACCACACACAGGGAGAGACGTAGATGAGTGGTATGGGTAAATCTTGATGTCTGTAGACGTCAAAGTAGGACGTGGTGTCAGTTTGTTGTAGGTAGCTTCAGTTAAGCAGTTAGCAGTGGCCCCAGAATCGATTAGCACCGGTATCTGGGTGCCCATTACTCTGATTTCAGTATGTGGGAGTTTAGGATGTTTAGCTGTGTTCACCACATATACATAGGCGTCATCACTGCTGGATGTGTGCCCTGTCTCCACATGTGCAGTGCTATCTGTTACTTGATGAACCGTTTGCGGTGGCAGATTTTTCTTATACTTCTTTCCACAATGTGTCTCTTTTCTCTTTGAGCGACATTGCTTTGCAAAATGATTGTATTTGCCACAAGAATTACAGATTTTGTCTTTGGCTGGGCAGCCTTGCTCATGAGGATATCTGCCTCCACAGTTTCGACAGCGGTTATTCGGCTGCCATGAGGGTGTCCATTTGTTTCTCGCCGTGGTATCACGTCCTGTTTTGTGCTGTACTTTATTAACTGCAGCTGTCTTGTCAGCTTCCATCCCTGTAGCTTGCAATTCAGACAACTCACATGCACGCCTGTGATTTAATAGATCATCCAACGTTAAATCAGGTTCTCTGAGTGCTTTTCTACGCAGCTGTGATGATGTACAGCTTTGGATAATTTGTGTTTTGATTTCTGCAGTCATGTCTGCAAACTCACAGTTTTTGGCTAGAATCCTAAGCCTGGTGTGATAGTTGTCCAACGTTTCACCTGACTCTTGCACCGCTTTCCTGAACAGATAAATCTGATACTGCACGTTTTTCTTAGGCGCAAAGTACACTGACAATTTCTGTTTTGTATCTGCGTACTTGTCGCCATCTGTTGCTAACGTGTCGTAAACGTCATGCACTTTTTCACCAGCCACATGCAGCAATAATGCTCTTAATCTTGCATCTCCAGTAATATTCATTGCGGTGGTGTAGTTTTCAAACCTCTGAAGCCATTTCGTCCATCGAGGTCCGACGGAACCGAGGTCGGTCTCCGTGTCGAAGGGTGGAAGTGGAGTAGCGTGTGCAGCCATGTTCTTGTCTCTTAAGCTCCGGGTAGGGCAACTTTCTTCGTCTTGCTTTGGTTGTAACCTTTACTCTCGTCGCCAATGTAATGTTTGCATGCCTCAAACATTAATGATCACACCCTCGGTAATTCTCAGTTCCATTCTTTTATTCTCAGGCTTGCAGCGATAACACAGTCTGCAGCGCTAACTTGTTCATTTTTTTCGTTTCCTGTTCGACCTTTCAAAATAAAACATCTGTAAACATCACAGACCTTGTCACATGTGAGCCACCCACACCAACAGGATGGGAACTCATGTGGAGTGCATGTCATAATGGTACTGAAAACTATAGCTTTAACCTATATAAGTAATGTTTACATTTTTGCCTATTCAGTTTTTAAAGCCTTAGAGGCAGGATGGTAAAATCTCAATTTTTTTTGTAGATTGAACCATTTCAGCAGTAATGCTTTGCTTTGGTTGCTCTGTTTTTTTTTTTCTTGGGGGGGGTTAAAAACAAACAAACATTTCTTTGTTAATCTAATTCTTTTTGTTCTTTTTTTTTTTTTCTTCTTCGTCAATTATTAGTTTGCCCAATCTCTCATTGACGGTAAAACACAAGTGGAGGAGTACAACACTGAAATCACAAAGCTCAGGTCCCGACTTTGCCACTACTTATTTTCCTCAATAGGTAAAGATAAAATTAGCTGCCTTCTTTTTCTCTAACATTGGAAAATGTAACTTGTACTGAAACAAATTATATTTTGCAGATCGAACTAGGAAGTGCAGTCAGTGCTGGTGTGTGATTGCAGCCAAAGACCGGGTACACTATGACATGTCCTTAGCCATATAGATTGTTTATTTAATGGACTTTGTTCATTTGTTTTTTGTTTGTTTATTTCTTCTTCTTTTTTTTTTTTTATTCACAGGTGCAGTGCCAGAAATGTGGTGCATACAAGCACATGCGTTGTTCAAAGTCTGTTTGTGGCATCTGTATCTTCTGTGAGAGTAAGTCACAATATAACTAAACAATGTCCAAAAATGTTTAAAGTGAAATTTTTTTCGTAATTTTGCCTTTGCACACCAGGACTGTGTAATTAAAGTGGACGTTTCAAGATCCAGTTTTTACACAAAACTATTTTAGACATAACTGTGTCGTATTGTGGGGATTTCTCTTCACAATTAAATTGATATAGTGCTGTTTATATCATTCTTCTTTATGTAACAGCACAGTGCAGCACAGCAGAGGGAAAGGAGTTGTGCAGCATAGTGGGTGGCTATACAGGAGGAGCAATAGAAGTAGCCAGTGAAGAATGTCATCAGGGAAAGCATCAGGCAGCGAATGACAAAGGAAAAGTTCCTAAGGGAGAGAATATCTGCAGCAAATCGACAAGTAACAGTGAGATAGGAAGACTGACAGTCAGAGATGAAGGTACACAGACTGAAAGAGATGAAGGTACACAGACTGAAGACAACGAAAAAGAAGCAGAAGTATACGGCACAAGTTTGAGTACAGGTAATGCTGCTGCTGATGATGTTGACAGGATCGATGCAGATACAGAATTCCAAACTGATTCAGAAGGAACTAGTACAGTTTACAGAGTGCATGGTCGCTTATCTGTACCAAGCTCAAAAAAGAAAACCTACACAATAACAGAAGACGAGATCAAGCGCAGAATCAACGCAGAGAACATGTCAGTTCATGTTTTCAGAGGTTTGATTGGGGTAGGTATACATTTCGTGATTTTGATGTCACCTGAAATAAATCCGGGTTACTCGTATCAATGAAGTGACAATGTGGCTGGAAATTGTGCATTTGCTGCAACATATACACAATTACACCATGTAAACAAAAGCATTTAACTTTGTGCACGTGTGTGTGTCTCTCTCTGCTCTTTTGGTGTTTGCACTTTTTCTTTTTTAGGGCCGTAAAGCCAAACTGCCCGCAATGATTCTTGACAGGCCTAAGAAGGCCAAAACTAAAGTAACAGTGTTTAGTGTTCTGAGTGAAGAGGAGGCTGGGGAGCTAGCCCTCGGGTTTGCCGGAAGATTGGCCTGCGATGTCACAACAGACATGGTCTGTAAAGGCATCGACCATTCAAGTGCTGATATGACAAAGTAAGTTAGTAAAACAATATGAAAGTTCTATCTTTTTTGGTATTATTTGTCATTTCCCCGTATTTGTAATTTCCCACGTGTGGGACTAATAAAGGTTATCTTATCTTATCTTATTTGGGTTATTGGTGTAACATTGTTAATCTTACTTTCTAATAACAGACAGACTCTTCTCAAAATCCAACACAATCTTAAACATGAACTGACTGATTCCTCAACCTTCAGTTTGCTGACACACACCTTTGGCCCCGCTGCACTGGATTCTGTCATTTCATTCCTGTGTGAAAAACTTGATCTTGTCTCTTAAATAATGAAACCTTTTGTGACTTTTGTTTGTTCTGTAAATCAGAATCTTGAAAATTGTTCATTGTTGTTCTAAGTTTGTGTTAACTATTTGGCAAAAATGATTGGTTCCTAATCCAAACAGCATAATGACTGTTCTAACACATATCTTAAAAATGCTACAAAGAAAGAAATTATCACATATGTTTCAATATGAATGTAATTGTGTCACACTCGGTTTGTAGTAGCTTTCCTGTTTATTTTGAGTTTTGGTATGTTTACACTGTTATTTTTATTTCCCGTGTGTTCGTCTTCCCTTATTAGTTTTACTGTATTTAATTAGTCTGATTTAATAACTTATAATTATTTACTTTCCAGTGTGTATATATGCTCCTCGTTTGGATTATTGTTTGTTTGAGTTCTGCCTGTCTTTCTATTAAAGATTTGGACTTTTGGACTATTAGTGGACCTCGTAGGTTTTTATTCTGTTCAATTGGTAATTGACTGGGTTTAATTTAGTGGCCTGGAAAACAGGCCGGAGGGGTCTGGTCATTTTAACCCCTAAGACCCGAAATCTTCCATGGCATGCATTTTTAATTTCTCTTTGATACTTGGGCCGATTGGAACCCGATTAATGTAAAAAGAAAGAATTACCAGGTTTTGTTTTTTTACCTAATTTTTGTTTCTGAGACAAATGAGAGCCACATATGAGGACATTAATTTGAAATTTCGATAGAACAGTTGCAGTATAATGTCCTCATAACTGTATATCAGGCACTTGTTGATCAAGATTTAGTATTTTGGTCTAAATAACCCAAAATGTGATGTCCACATGTGTGGACGCCAGGCTGGAGTAAAGTGTTAGAGCTATTTATACCTATGTAAACTTTTATACACTGGTTTTTACCTGTCTTGTTTCAGAAAGGTTTAAAAGGGTAATGTCCACAGTTTATTTGTTTATTTATTTGTTTGAATTCAACATATTTTATTAAAGTAATTGAGCTTGAACACAGAAAAACTGAATCAAATAATCATAAAATCAAATCACTTGCACTATACTGAAGTCTAATCTACTCTGAGCTAATGCCGGTTTCCAACACTAATGATCGGGTGAAGGAGAGAGATGAGGGTGTGCACGGCCACTGGTGCTCTTATCCCTGTTCTTTGTGATACAATCCAACAGGAAAGCAGTCAAACCCTTGGACATTAGCCAAGTTAACGTTCACAAATATATACACACAGAGGAACTCTGAGCCCCAATGTCAGCATTAGCACAAACATGCCACTTCATACCAAATCTCAGTGTGAGGTCAGGTGTTAGTCTCATTCCATTATTCTAGCTATATTTTCTTACTCATTACTATTAAACTTATACTTAAGACTAACTATTAACAAAATCACACCCCAATAACTCTGTTATTACACTTTGTATTTAATCATAAAAAGGCTGGATGTTGAAACCTTTTACTTCTATTTTGTATGAGCCAGGATTCTCAACAGCTGATACTCTATGTCCAAAAAGTGACAGGTATCGTTTTATGGAGCAAAAAACTTAAGAGCGCATATTTTATAAATAATACCAACAATTACAAATGCAGACCTTTAATAGTAATAAGTAATCCTTTATTTATAATGCATAGCAATATAAAAATAGTAACATATGAAAATATTACAATGGGCACAGATGAATTGTATCAAAAACAGCAACCAAGCCAAAGTAATGAATAACACACATAAATAACAACTGCTTGAGAGACCAAACAATTTCTTTTCATCTGTTCCTTGGCAGAAAGTTAAGACAGCTATTCAGCTTTAGGTTTCAATAAACAGAAGTAATGGATGCAGTCCCTTTGAAATGTCACACAAAAGTCTACTTGTGCATATACTTAGCTTTAACTCTTCTCTTTTTGTTTTGTATTCCAAAAGGTTTTCATTTCTCCAGAGGATGTTCTCTTTCAGTGGTTATCGACTGTTCACATTCATTTCACAGACTGTTGGAATGTCGATGCTGGCCGAACGTTTCTTGCTAGAATACAATGGCCTAATTTGCGTGCATTATCTGTCGTCTTTATTTCGTACTGGCATATACTTTTGCCTACTTGTTTTGTTTTTAAGACATTTGTATGCAGTTCATCTATCATTGCAGTAATACCCTCTGGAATGAATGCCCACTGTTTAACTGTGTCTAAAACAGCATTTAGTTTTCCAACTGCATCTTCTGTGCATTTTTGTCTGTGCTTTCAACTACAGGAGTGTCATTCAAAGTTGATAGAGGACTTTTCAGAGAGTTTTTCATTTGTTTAAAATGGCTACAAGCCACCTTCAGGCAAGCACATGTGTTATAGTGAGAGAACGTACAACAAGTGCACTGAAGTGTTTCAGCCGATGCAAAAAAACACAGATTTCCAAACAAACTTGGCATTTTTATCACTTTCAAGTCCTCACAGTGTACAAAGTAATGCCTTTCTTTCACTGCAATTCTTGCCAAGGTAGAAATGTCTGTTTCCATGTTTGGATAGATGTCATTGTCAGCCTCTGCTAATTTTGCAAGTAACACTAGATGCTTGCAAAGAAGTCCTCGTAAGCCATATGTACAGTTGCAGTAGGACTCAACAGGGCAGACATCATACACCATGTCTTCTCTTGACTCAGATGGGACTTGATATGCATTAACTCCATGGCTGTTCTTGACTGTAATTTTAAGAGCCCAACCACTTTCCATCAGTCTTGAAGCAGAGTCTGAAACTTGAGACAAGGTGTCAGCAAACCTGTTTTTCATGCGGCCCACATCTTGCAGGGTTTTTATGACTGAGAAGTAGTCGTCGGCCTTCCCTAGGAGCACTTCAATCAGATCATCCAGACGCCTATTCTTGTAGCCAGATAAAAACTGGTATTTCAGGCGGTGGAAAAATCTGAAAAACAGTTATTTGAAATGATTAGTAACTGTAATTGAAGGAATTTAAAGTTTTAATCAAGACTGTATTATTTTTTAAAAAATTGGAATACCTATTGCACACGTCTTTTATAAAGGAATGCTCTGTGCCGGTTTAGCTGATTTAGGCAAATCCACCTACTCTGTTTTTTGTTGTGATAACATAAAAAACGCTGCTAGAATTTAAAGGATTTGCCTAAAACCTGTTCTGGCAATGACATGACGAACCTACTCAGTTTAGCCTCTTGGATTAAAGCATAATATCTTTTTTTCAGCAATACAATTGAATGAGGTCAAAATAATAAATCATACCTTTCAATCACATTGTTTGTTTCAGAACGAGCGTGACTGAAGCGACGGCCGTAGTCACACCACATGTGGCCAATGCCTTCCCAGTGCTTCTGAAAATACTGGCACACCAAAGGGTATTGCTTAAATGTCTGGCAGAACTCTGCTGATGTGGCTTTAAAGTCGTCCTCCTAAGAGAATTGGATGCAACAGAATATATTTCAATCCATTTAACAGACCTATTGAAATCTTTAATATTATGTATTGAAGCCCTTTTCCTTTTATTGAATAACATTAAGAATTTTAAGTTATTAATAATATGTCGTGTTTTTGTATTAAGAAGCAATTATTTCTTCCCTTACAATGGCTAAGAAGGAACACTAAACCTATAAGCATATTTGGTTTCAGCATCTGTCTGTGAAAGAATCCCACTCACAAGTTCTACTGCACAGTGGGTGACACAATGATGTTCTGCACAGCTTAAGTACTTGTTTTGATAAGCAAGATAAGAAGCCAGTTTTAGAAATTGTTTCAAAAATCTATTTTGTATCTCTCTGTAACTTTTTTTAGCAACTGAAAGTTATTATGCTCTTAGTGTAATCAAGAAATCAAAATGTGAAATAGACAAATTACACTTACAGATGTGCAAGCTTTCAGCTTACAAAAGAAAGAAATGATTTCATTTCTCTTTTGGGTGTTAGAAAGCCCATGGACCCCGGACTCTGATTTTGAAAGCCATCGATTAACAGCCTGTGAATGTAAGAGAAAAAAAGTTAATCTGGAGAGAGAGACAGAGGAGCAGCTGTACAAAAAGCATAAAAGAAAGCTGACGTCCAAAAATAACTTTGTCACTCACTGGACAAGAGGACCTGTGCATTACAGAAATCAACCAGGCAAACATATTTTTAAATGTCAAAAAGAGCTTTGGGAAGCAGCCACCAGAAGATGAGTGCACTGTGGTCTTAAATGGATGGACATAGTCACTCAACATTTTATCCCTTTATATTCATTAACCTGAGTAGGTGAATATCACAATG